TTTTTTTTTTTTTTTTTTTAAAGAGGTGAGGTGAGCGTGAGAATGGGTATGCTGGCCGTATCATTAATGCACTGCAATTATGGCACATTCAGCACCATAATCAGTGCTACTGTGCATCAGCACAAATTCACAGATTCATAGATGTTAGGGGCTGGAAGGGACCTCACGAGATCATCAGGTCCAGCTCCCTGCACTTGAGCAGGAAGGACTGCTAGGTTCAGATGAATACTTTTTTTGTGGCATATACTGTGTATTAGCATGGTTTTTGCCTGCCATGAGAATGAGCAGTAGGATGAGTCTTCTGAGCATTAAGCATGTCATGTAGACATGCCCAGATTGTCTTAGAAAAGTAGTATTTTGTTTCCATTGAGGTTTGTTGAACAATGCTCTCTTGCTAACACTTATTATTTATAAAATATTATAAAAAGGGAATTTGTTATTATAGCAATCACAAAAATCTAAATGTAGAATAAATAATATGGGATGATACTAAGCCTTTAAGTTTCTTTGAATTTAATTGTATAAAATTTAGCATATACACTTCAGTTAAAGAATTATTAGGTACAAAATATCTGTAAAACAGCATGTTTTCAAGAAATTAAGCTTTGAATTGTTAGTTTCATTGAGCCTAGATTTGTAAAATGCTGAGTTAATTTGACTCATAAGCCAATGGCTTCAATCAGGGTGAACTTTATCATGAAGGATAAATATTCTTTGTTTTGAGGTAAATTTCCCAATACAACTCAAGGGATAAAACCAAACATTCATATGAAGGAATACCACATTCTTCTAAACATGGTTTATTTATTTCCAGTGCAGTTAAATCTAATCAGTAGCATACTAATAAGTACCAAAGTATCAGCAAGGACTAAAACCCAAAAACCAAGCATGAGGCCATGAAACAGTTTATTCTAAAGCATGCCAATTTTAATGTTAGCAAATCTTTAGGCATCAGCAAGTTTTCTAAGGCCCACTAAGTGCAAATACATGCCATAATTAACATAATGGGAATTTTGATATTTCCCCCTGCATAACCACAAGTCAGATGTAAAATAAAGAACTATGTATCATCATCATCTTTCATTTTTAATAGTCAGATTCTATTCCAATTGAAAAAGGAGGCTCCATGAACTGCTTTTACGTGCATTTTAGGAAAAAAAAACCCAAATTAATTCTTCTGTTCTGAGTCATTACAAATATTCAGTTGCTTAGTAGGTTTAGTAGCTTCTTGCATCAATTCTTGTAGCTGTCCAATCTGTTCACCACGAAAGTGATTAAGCTTCTCTTCTGAAAGGTGGGTTCCAAACCGAACCTTTTCTCTTGAGTGTTGTCCTTCACTAACTTGCTGCCATAGTGTTGCTGAATAGTCCTAATAGAGAATAAATAGGTCAGAAAAAGATAACAAATGCAGTTTACCACCTTTTTATTATGCATCTTTCTATTATTCAGCTACAAATTGACGAAATTTGCATCTTGAATCAGAAAGAAATCCTTTTAAGATGTAAATTACAATTCCAATAGATTTCATAGACATTAGGACTGGAAGGGACCTTATAAGATCATCAGGTCCACTCCCCGCCCAAAGGGCAGGAAGTCAGCTGGGGTCAGATGACCCCAGCAAAATAATCATCCAACTGCTTCTTGAATGAGTACAGAGTAGGTGCTTGCACCACTTATCGGGGGAATCTATTCCAGACTCTGGAGACTCCATTTAGTTCATTTTACATTTTTGCTTTAAAAAGGAATTGCCTTCACTCTATGCTAATTCCAGATATATTTATTTGCAAGCTTGTCACATTATGCATTTTAACACGCTAAAATGGTAAATTTTATTCTAAAGTCAATATTTTTAGATTGAACTAATATTTTTATTGTGCTAAAATATCAACAGAATTCATGTTGAACATTGCTATGATTGCACTAGTATTAATTATCAACATAAAAATAAGTAAACACACTCTCATTGAGCTTTACTGGAAAACCCAATTCATAATTCTACAGCTAACATACAATATTACTGCCCAACTGCACATTGTTGTTTCACAGACTGCACTGACTACTCTTCATTTCCATGCTTTCTGTGCAATCAGGTTTGGATTTGCTAAGGCTACATTATTTGGAGTCCCTCCTCACTTGCTCTCTAGCTCTGACTCAAGAAAGCACTAAAGTGCATGCTTTAGTCCTACAGACTATACTGACATGTCTAAAGTTATCTATTTATCTATTTATGTGATGTATATGTAAAAATCCAGATTTTGAGATCAGAAGAAGCCATTAAATCATCTTAACACAGGCCATAACATTCCTACCACTGTATTAAGCTTAATATCATATTTGGCTAAGATGTATTATCTGGGAAGACATCCCAGTTTTGATCTGAAGACATCATGAGATGAGAGATTCCATCATCTTTCTCAACAGGTTCATTCAATGCTTGACATCCTTCATGTTTCAAACTGTACCTTATATTTAATTTGATTTTATCTGGCTTTAACTCTCAGCCACTACTACTTTTTAGGTCTTTCTCCAGGAAATTGCAAGTCCCTTTTGTATATGGCATTGTGAAGTATTACACGCTACAGCAAAGTCACTGCTCAATCTTCATTTGGACAGAGAGAAAAGATCACTCCATAACATCTTCCCCATTCATTGAATACCTTTTGTGGCTCCCTTCTACCCCTTCAACTTTCTAAAAATGGGGATCATTTAGCAGTGTCATATATAGAATTAAAACTACTTCCCTACACCTACTCCTTACTTTCCTGGTGTTATATCTTGAACCTTAAACCCTTCTGCCACATCACTGGACTTGACAACTATGATCCCTAAATAATTTTTTTTGGAAGCAGTTTTGTAGGATGCAGTCTCCTATTCTGTTGGCTTGCTATGGTATAGTATGATATACAAATTGAATATATCTGCAAGTAATCCAGACCTCTCAATAATCAAAAATAATCCAGACCTGCCCCCCACAGTCCTCAGTATTATTTACAGCTCCTTCCACATTTTCATTCATTTGCAGTTTTTATCAGTGCCCATTTTATTTTTACTTACAGACCACTGATAAAAAAAACACTAAACAGCATTGGTTGCAATACCAATACCTAAAGAACATCAAAAACTTCTGAATCTGATGATGGCTCCTTACTGACACCCACCTCTTGGAATCTGGTTGTTTTTAATCTAGCTAACATATTATATTATAGTGCTAGTTTTTCAATCAGAATACTTCATGGTCTTATGTCAAAAGAATCACAAGAATGTAAATTTACCACATTTATGCAGTTCCTGTTTCATGTAAATCACATAAAAATTAAAAGCAAGTTTGTTTAAGGAGTACCAAAACTACACCAACTGGCACTAATTATATTCCAATTTTATAAATATTAATGAAATCCTGTAAAAATGGTCTTCACTATTTCACTTGGGACTGATGTCAAACCGGCAAACTGCTACCTGTTTGCCCTTTTATATTTATATGTTTTGAATCTCCTGAAAAAATCCTGAGAATTAATAAAAACTAATACCAGTGACCCTAATATATCCTTTGTTAACTCTTTTATGACGGTCTTGGAGGGCAAGGTATCCAAGCCTATTAATCTAAAAATATTTCCCTTTTGTAAATACTTCCTAGCATCCTTCTTAGCTATTAGTGGTTTAAAATTACTTCACATGGTATAAGCCTAATATTCTGTTTCTTTCTACATGCACAACAGAAACATTTTTTTTAACTTCTTCGCCTTTTCTGCCTCAGTATGAACAATTTTGTTACTTTTATCCGGATCCCTCTTATTGTTAGGATTCTTTTTGTGCTGATATAGTTAAATTCCACCCACTATCCTTAGATGAGCCAATAATGGACTTTCAGTGATGACTTTAGCTTCCCTTATTAATTCTTTATACTTTATCATTTCTAATTTGTATTGTTTCTCTTTCTTTCCATTTGTTATATATACTATATATTTCTAATTCCAGGCTTCACTTTCAATCCTAACCATACTCTTACTGGGCTTTTACCAAAAGTTATCCTCCTGGGGCACATGGGCCAGGTACAGACATTATGCTCTTACTGGTATAAGTGATCAAAAACCAGTCTATACCCGTAACAGAACAGAAGTTCATAACACTTAGCCTGGTTTAAAAATGGTGGAACCTGGTCTAAGATATGGCCCGTCCCGTCCTCTCCCCCACCACCAAAGGGCGAATGTGTGTTCTGTTCATTACTGATCTAAACTACACTGCTTACAGAAACCGCGTAACTTAGATCGATTCTGCCTCAGGCTTTCTGAATATCTGTACCTAGTCATGAAAACAAATTACTTGCCTTGTAGTAAAAGAGGGCAGAGATTTTCTGCACATCACCTGCTCCACATTAAGTGCCTCTCTGCAATTTCTACTCTGCAGAAGATTAAAACTGAACTGTGTAGCTTTACCCCTAATGAAACAAAGAATGGTAGCCAAACTGCAGTGACTTAAACTCTGGGAGAGGTGGTAGGCATGGGGAAAGAAGGGCTAGAGGGGCCCAATCCCTGCTCCAGTGCCACACAAGGAGTGGACCCCTCATGGTTTCCCTAGCACCCACCCCAACGTGCACATGTCAAGCAAAATATCTTCATGTTACATACTCTGACATGCATGCTGGCGGTTGCTGACCCCTGGTCTGATATATGACTGGCATCAAAACAGATGTAGCACATCATTTACAAACAATGCTTAAATAACAATTCAAATTAGCTGCAATTGCTCTGAGGTAAACTGTTAATTCAGATGATTCAAAGGTACTTAATGCGGGATAATGGGCTTGTCCATCTGTAAGGTTTACTGAGAGATAAAAAGCTCAAATGAAAATCAAGCCGGTAATCTGTTTCTAGCCACAGACACTTTGTAGTACTTGAAGTGGGCCAATGGGCTTGTACGTCTGTAGTATCACAGGAAAAAATGTTTTCTCCCAGGAGAAATCCAACATCTGTTTTTACCCTGGGATAGCCCTTTTTCCTAGGAAATCATGGCTAATTCAAGTTAATTGCCATTCAAGCTACAGGTGTAAAAGACTGTCCTGTGCCTGTTCTGATGCAAGTCAAAGACAATCAGACTCCAGATAAGCCTAACATCAGTTTTTGCCCTAAGAGAGAACAGCTGGGATTGTTTACTTGACTGGGACTCTACCTGGGAGTTAACCTAAGCACTGCAATTTAGGAGCCTGCCTGCCTGCTGTACTACTGCTGATTAGACAAAGCTGCCTGCTTGCACTACATGCAACTTTGGGAGCATTCTGTCTCATAGGAAGGCAAAGTTCCTCTGCAGGAGCAAAGCTAGAAGGTAGCTCCCCACAGAAGGGGATGCAGACAATGAAAGGGTCTCGGAGTCCAAGTCGCCAGGAGCTGGAATTGACACCTGGACTGACTTCAAGTAGTATTCACAGGGACCAAGTTAGGGCTGGGGGTCCCAAGGAAGAGTTCTTCTGGAGAATCCAAGACAGGGTAAGAGCATGCACATGAACAATGATCACAAAGTAGTTGATGTGCTGTAAATCTTAGCCATGTTGACCATATATTAATTTATTCATGCCCTTACCTATTTTTAACATATTTTCTCTCACCTTAGAATACTTGAATGTGCATATATAAATTTCATATTTCAAACCATTTCAAATTTCAAAAAAATAATTTCTCATTTTTATATTCATATTATGATATAAAACATCAACAGAATGAAAGTAAAATACTTCTGTCTTGGTAGGCAAGGAAGTTGTATTAGATTCAAATTTTAATTTGCACTCAGAGGACAAAAAGAATAATTACACAGTAAAAACTACAATAACACTCAGTATACATCATCAGCATTAACAAGCTATGGGAAAAGGCCCATTATCTCTGAATCCGTTTCTATTTAATGCCAAATTACTAAACCCAGACGCTTATGCTATATCCAAGTCACAACATCCTTATACTATTAGGTGAAATAATGAACACTAAAGTATTAAGCATTTTATTTAGGCAAAGAAAATATTATGACACCTCATACTCTAATAATTCATAACATGTTTACATTTAATAGCAAGCAACTGGCTTAAAGTAGCATTCCAACACTACCTGGGCCACGATAAGTGTTCTTCAAAATCTCTTTGATACGGTGCTGCTCTGCTGTTTCTTTTTCAAATCAAGCTAATAAAGATATGTTCCAGTACAACTACTGTCTCAAGATTTACTAGTCTTTTATTAATAGTTATCATTGAAGTATCTGTATTATAAAGAAAGCAATACAGCTTACTATATAATCACATAACATCCATAATTCCTATTAAAAACCTTAAAATCCATGGCTTGCTTTTAAAAAGTTACAACTTCTTTTGGACACCAGTCACTGAAA